GGGAGGGGGGCATGGTTAGGGGGAAGAAAGGGCATTATACCAGATAGTTCAGCCTTCCTCGGAACTTACCCACCCGTCATCACAGCCTTGTAATAAAACCAATTTGCATAGTCAGCCTTTTAGTCACTCAGCGCACCCCCGTTCTCATCCTCCAAGCACCACAACTGCCATTTCTCTGCTAACCACCAACCACGCTCCCTGAACCTCCGGGAGCTGCAAGCCTCTACCCCATGGGGAATTCACCAACCACTCCTTGCCTTGAGCCCGCAGAGCGCTGGGCAGGTGACCAGCGAGGCGGCTGCTGCTGCTGCTCCGGTCGCCCGCGGCCCCAGACGTGCCGGGCGGGGTGGAGGCAGAGGCCGTGGCTGAAGGGAGGCTCCGAGGTGTCTCCTGGAGTCCGAAATCGTAGCGGGGCCCTTGTGACAGAGACCCTGTGGGTGACTGGGAAGCCGCAGGGACCGAAGGTGAGGTTGATGACATCTCCGGCCTCAGCATCCTCAGGATCCTTAGGCGCCCGTGAGGTTTCCGACCGGCCCCTCCGTCCTCTGACAGACGCCACGCGGGAAAGGGCGGGAGGACGGCGCGCGGACGCACCGAGTCGCAGGGCGCAGGCGCCGAGCGGCAGCGCGCAGGCGCACAGGCCTCCAGCTTTCCACCAGCGCACGGCGGTCCCCACCGAAAATGAACTCCCGGCGGTTCGCAACGCCGCCGCCTCCCACGGGGTTTGGTTACGAGCTGAATCTGAGGCACAGCCCTCCTCATCCTGCAGGTTACCACCTGAATGGAGTTCCTCATGGCCCACCGATGACCGCGGTAGCCGCAGGATTCACGCAGCACCCGATTTCTTACACCAAGGCTTCATTTAACATTCCCCACATACTCCCAAATACACTAGCTTCTTTTTAATGCTCACACTTAGTACAACCCACCTAACATTGGTCTTGTGGCTAAATACAGGAGCCATAACCTCCTATATTATCAGTGAAGCATCCACACGGCTGTAATCAGAGCAAGATTGCCCTTCAACCAGTAAGCACATGGTTGTATGCACAGTAGAGTAAGCAGATGGTTGTATGCACAGTAGAGTAAGCAGATGGTTGTATGCACAGTAGAGTAAGCACATGGTTGTATGCACAGTAGAGTAAGCACATGGTTGTATGCACAGTACAGTAAGCACATGGTTGTATGCACAGTAGAGTAAGCACATGGTTGTATGCACAGTAGAGTAAGCACAGGGTTGTATGCACAGTACAGTAAGCACAGGGTTGTATGCACAGTACAGTAAGCACAGTTGTATGCACAGTAGAGTAAGCAGCAGGCAAACAATGGATCTTTTGGGACAGTTTTAGGAACTGCTCCCAATCTCAATTTCTACTACTGTGGTTTCACACAGGTAATTTAGTTAGGAGACTACACAATTTCTAACTCAAGCTTCTCAACAAACAACCTTTGGGAAATTAAGTTCTCTATCTGTTCGGTTTTCATGAATATGGAAATCAGAGATAATAGGATTGAAAAAGAGTGAAATACTCTGGATACCATTAGGCAATCATTTAAAACATTGAATTCATGCAATTTAGTATCCTAATAAATCAGATATTCACAGCATAGTTCAATAAAATGCAATGACTGTAGACTTCGAATCTTCTCCAAACACTTCCTATGATACTATTTAAATAACTGTTCCATCCAATGACCTCCAAGCTTCCAGAAAGACTAGTGAATTGTCAAAGTGCTACTGTATACTCCAAGAATCTAATTCAAGTACCTATATGCAAGATGTTAAAATTGACATTGATCAATATAAGTGAACCATCCCTATGCATTTGTAAACCTTTTTATTGTTGACAAATGACTATTACACAACCTTGTGTAATGTTTTTGAGAAATTTCAACTTCCACCTCAAGAAAAATGTTCACAGAAACTTTTTCACCAAGAATGCAAAACTAAGAGAATAGCTGTGCTTATTTTAGTATTTCTGGAGAAAAAAAAAAGTATACAGAAAATACTGTGGTAACTATTGTCTTCTATTTCCTTATTGGGAGGGAGGAAAAAGCCAACAATTCGTTGGTAGTCAGTAGCTGGCTTTGACATAAAATAGTAAAAATTAGAATAAAGTGTAGTCCAGATTGCAATCCTATCCTAAGATGGTGAACTGTCCTTTACCTAAATTACTCTGTGACCAAGTCAGAGTACTGTAAGTATATGAAATAACTACCAAATTCAACAACTATTTACTTTTTTGTGCATCTTTTAATTCATATGTGGGGCTTATCAATTTTTACAGTTAACAATCTCATCGACACAAACCAATTTACATGAACTATCATTACATAACATATGAAGGGAGCACGTGAGAAAAATCAAGTAGAATATAAGACTTCTTTAACCAGAGTTCTTACAGACTATTGTTAGGGAAATTTAAATACTTTGAAGCATAAACAAAATATTGTACTCAGAGTACCAGCATTCTAAAAGAAAATCAAAAGCTGAAGATAGGTCTTTATTTTACAATATGTATAATTATATAATTTATTAAAATTAATTCATATACAAAATATTAACAAAGTCATAAGTTTTATAAGCATTTCAAATACAGAAATGTTAGGATGACAAAATTATACTCAGCAACTTTTGCATCAATGAATCTAGCTCACTAGTTCAGGCTGAACATTCACTCTCCGGAGTACTTCTTCAGGCATGCAAAAAACAGGACTAACAGGTTTAATCTCTTCTTCTCCCAAAAGTGACAATCCGGCAATTCCAAATAAAGTATGAAAAGGATCTACCTATATAAAAAAATGAGAATTCATAGAGTATTACAAAATGAAAACTTCTAAAAACCCTGTTTCTGAACAACAGGATACTGGAGCCCACTGTATTTCCTTTACTTAAATGTACGCTTCAAGTTTTCTTAATAAAAATGGCTTTAAATTGTGTTGTTAACCTATTTTGGAAATGTGATGAGAAATTTCTATAAACATGTTTTATATCCTTCGTATAGTCTCAAAAATTACGGGAAAAAAGCACCCTGCTCTTAAAGCAACATTTGGAAATACTATACATTTCTAAGTTTAGAATAGCTTTGAACCATAAAGTAATGCAAAACATTGAAATGTAACTGTTACATGAACATGTCAGAAATATACTTGCCATATCTCCTGGCCTGTCTGCAAATCCTCCAGTTTCTTCATCTTGACATGCCAAGATGAAACTTCGGAGTTTCTCTCGATCAATCCAATGAAGCCTTCCAATTATCTTTAGGGAAGCCAACACCCACCATGAATAGCACACATCTGGTAACTAGGAAGAAGAAAAAGCCACCAAGTTGCTACAATTTCATTCTCTAGTCCACACGTGGGTTGGGGCGGGGAGGAGTCAAGGGATATACTGACATGCAGTGTTTGAAACACTGAAATTCATACACAGAATTGCTTAGAATCAGATAATCACTGGAAAAACACTCCAACCCACAGAATGCCATGCTATGTATTTCACTACTTCCTGACAAACATCCATCTACTTATATTTCTTCTGCAATGAATGTCCCTTACCCAAGAAGCTGGTGGTTAAGGCTCCTGAAATCTATGGTGATGTATGCTGCATTTCCCCAGATAGAGTATTTTCAGCAAGTGCTGTCCAGGTAGCTATCAGACCTGCTTAAAAATCATCTAAAACCTGGCCCCTCAAAATAGAGTTTTAAGAAATGCAGGGGATCCTGCCTGAAACTGATAAAGAATCTTCATCAAGATCCTTGGGTGATTCATAGGCACATCATGGCCAGCAGGACAGAAGGGGGGAAAATAGGGACATCTGTAATAGTAAATACAGGAAAACAAATGTCCTACATTATAAAATGCTGGTTCCTGTCAATTGCCACCCCCACCCATTTTCTGATTGTTAAAGTTGCCTAGGTTTTCCATAGGACCTTAACTAGAAACCACCTGAGGTTATTTTCCTACCACCCCACCCCCAACTTACTTAAAAATACCAAGCAAGCAGAATTAAACAAAAATTATGAAAGAACCACCACACCCTATCATATACTTTTAGGTCATGGCCCAGCAAGATACAGCTTGAGTCAAATCTAGACTACAACCAAAGAATAGTTGCCGTTTTTTTTTAAAAATTGATTTCAGAGAGAGGAAGATATAGAAAATAGAAACATCAATGAGAGAGAATCATCCATCGGCTGCCTCATGCACAACCCCTAATGGGGATTGAGCCCAAAGCCCAAGCATGTGCCCTGACCAGGGATCAAACCGTGATCTCCAAGTTCATGGGTATAGGCTCAATCACTGAGCCACACCAGCAGGGCAAAAACAGTTTTTCAAAAGGCTTTTTGGACAGGATAATCATATGAAGTACAAATGTGTCCATAATTTTACTGCAACACAGCCATACCAATATATTTCTTACTGTCTATGGAAGTATTTGCTTTTCAGGGTAGTTTAGCTGCAACATACCACATGGTTCTACAAAGCTAAAAATAGTTACTATCTGGCCTTTACAGACCCAATTTGGAGAATATGTGAGCTAAACAAAACTTGACTTATGAAGGAAAATTAATTCCCTCCTTCCAAATCCAAGTGTCAAAAATTAGAGGTTTTTCTTTGGGGGGAAAAAGATAGTGAAAAGTTTTAACAATTTTTAAAACACCTCTTTGATTTGGCAAACCCACTGACCCTTCACACCCATAAATCAACATGGAGATCTTCTATACTAGATAAATGTGTTCACATAAGCCTTTTAATGCATGACTTATTCCCTTGTATAGATCCAGACATAAAAGGTTTGAAAAATTAGTTCACTTCAATGCCTGAAAAATGCAAAGCCTTCCGAAGGATGGGGGGGAAAGACCCTTTAAGAATTCATGCCCTGGCCAGTGTGGCTCAGTTGGTTGAGCATCATCCCGTAAACTGAAAGGTCATTGGTTTGATTCCTGGTCAGGGCACATGCCTGAGTTGCTGGTTTGGACCATGGATGGGGTACGTGTGGGAGGCAACATATCCATACCTCTCTCTCCCTCTCCCTTCCTCTAAAAAAAAAAAAGAAGTCAATCAGAACATATAAAAAATTCAGATTATGTGTGAATATAAAATATAAATATAGTTTAAAGCTAAGAATATATACCATTTTTGTATTCTCCTTTATATAACTCAAGACTCTACTTCAGGACAGGAAAGACCAAAAGACAGATTTGTAAAACAAGCAGCAGAAGATCCATGCACATCTTTTCTTCAAAAGTATCTTTTAGACAGAGAAACTTTAAATGCGTATTACTAAGTGGAAGAAGCCATTATGAAAAGTCTACATCTACATAATATCAGCTACATAACATTCTGGAAAAGGCAAAACTATAGAGGATAGTAGAGATCAGCGGTTTCCAGGCATTTGTGGGAGGACAGAAGGGTGGATAGGTGAAGCACAGGGGATTTTAGGGTGGTGAACTATTCTGGATGATGCTACGAAGGCGGATACAGGATATTATGTATTTTTCAAAACCTACAGAACTGTACAGTATAGAGTGAACCTGTATGCCAACTATAGACTTTAGCAAATAATAATGTATCAATAATGGTTCATTAATTTTAAGAATGTACCACTCTAAAATAAGGTAAGGTGTTAAAATAGGGGAAACTGTATGTGGGGGAGTTGAGATGCTCCATACTACCTGCTCAATTTTTATGCAAATTTAAAACTTCTAAAAAAATAAAATCTATTAATTAAAAAGTATCTTATTTTTTCAAGGTTTATCTCTCCACCTCTATTACTGGTTTTTTTTAGTTTATTGGGATGACATTGGTAAGATTATATAGGTTTCAAGTGTACATTTCTGAGATGTAATATTGAAAAAGTTAAGACGTAGTAGTACTCACTGAAGATTATAAAGCTCTTAGAACAGTTTGTCTTTAAAACAATACCTTCTCTGGCCTTCCATTCAGTCCGCCTGAAGGTAACTGTCGTTCACAAAGCCACCAACCGAGTAAATCAGAATTTACTTGATGCAACTGATTAGTAATAGCCAGAAATCCTGTGCAACAATAGATCTAAAATTACAGACATAAAGTACATGTGTATAATAGTTTTCAATAAGTGATAAAAACTACTCAATTAAAACTCCTTTTTATGTCTAAAAACTTACTGATAATTGAACAGTTAGAACTGTAAACATGCAAATATCACATAATTATTTGAAAAAAACCTAAGCATACTATTATTAGAATCCAATTTTGCAATGAAATACTACTGTCAAAACTTCTCCATGACTAAAATCATATTTTATTTCACAACTATTTACATATGTACAATGTTCTCTGGTACAAGCAAATAGTTGTGTTCAGGACAGATAGAAACGAAATGCTTTCCACTGCTTAGTTAAAATCTAATGGAGCCCTGGCCAGGCTGTCATCCAGAAACGCCAAGGTCTCAGGTTCAATCCCTGGTGAGGGCACATACAAAAATCAACCAATGAATACAAATTGAAGTTTCTCGCTCTTAAAAAAGATCAACAAGTTAAAAAAAATAATAATTAAAATGAAAAACACTAATGGAGAAATCAGAATGTATTTTTGGTAATTACAAATCTACTTCTGCTTGACTGGGTCTGAGTTTCACCAACAGGGGAATGTATACAAAGCAAATTATTGTAAAAAAATTGTCTTCCTTAACCAGCAATTAAGCAACTATTATGTAACATCACACATTATACTACATTTGGTCAGATTAACTTTGTTAATATTTAACAGACACTAAAATTGCCATTAATGTATTATAATCTGCATTAGTGAATTACCTGCCCAGCATGGGACTCAGAACCTGGCCTACAACCAAATCCACCATCAAAGTTCATACATGATAAAACAAATTCAATTGCCTTTTCCACATTAATAGCATCCAGCTTCCCCTATAAACAAACAAAAAAATATGCTCATTAAATTCAAGTAACCATGGACACTAATTAATCCCAATACAACAGTCTTAACTTACCAATAGAGCCAAAGTTGCCACCGCACAAAAAGAGAATCTTGTATCGATTTCTCCTAAAAATAAAAGGAATCAAATCAAAACTTAAGTGTTATTAGAGGCTTCTGATCATAATATACACAAGTTACTTTGTACAACTACCATGGTTAAAACTTAAGATTTACTTTTAGGTTGCCAGAAGCAAAGCTAAATCTGAAGTGAAATCACCTTACTTCTAAGAAAACTAAGAACTATAAAAATGCTTTGTCAAAAATACAGAAAATTATCTTAGGTTGCTTCTACAGTGCCCAGAAAGGGAAGGTAAATAGTCAAAAGGACTAGTCCATTCCTAATAATAAACTTACCCTATTATATAAAAGTAGATTTTCACATCCCATGAAGCAGCTGGTCTCTCCGGCCTGCACTGTATTCAGCCCTAAAGTAGAGATTATCTACATTTATCAAGTAAAATACTATTCCCTCCCTCCACTCAAATATTCAGTAAGTTTGTAAAGTTTTTGAATATTTTCCCCTTGCCAGTAAGCAGTTTTCTAAAAACTTTACAAACTCACCAAATATTAGGGAAAAAATTTCCACCTACCTTATCTTTTAGACTGGCCCCCTCTGTTCCAATGCTCCTGTATGCTGACATAACTAGCACAGAGCATGCTGGAACTTCCAGCAGACTATTAATTCCAGATAGACCAGCTGCTTAGTGGGACCTGAAAAGATGAAAAACTTAAAAAAAAATAAAAAATCTTTTATAAATTAGCAAACCTCCAATTAATTGTACTTAAAAATAAAAAAATATGCCACAAAGCTTATTACTACAATAAACACCAAAACATTGTATTACTGGTATTTTGGGTAGCATAGATTAAACTGACATTACCCCAAATATCTCCAGCAAAAGAACCATCTTCTTTCTGCAGACTCTGAACATATTCCACAACTTTATTTACGTCAATAACATTAATACTATCATACAGAGTGAGAATCTGTAACCAAAAAAATCATGTTAAATAAATACATCTTCAACCTTGGTAAGCTGCTTCTAATGTTCTTCCTCAACTACCTTTTAAGTCAAGCAAGCATATCCTTGTCTATGCATATTGTGAACTTTTCTCAAACATGCAAACTATCTTTTATGCAATAAAATTATAGCTTTTTCAACAAACCCAAACATCTAAAAGCACTTTTCTACAAATATTGTAACTTCAAATTAAGACTCTTAAATAGCCTAAACTTACTTAAACTCTTATTTGTGGATCTTCAAAATTAAAACATTTAACTCCGAATAGTGATTTTCAAATATTTACATACACTAAACATTTTACCATCCAAGGTCTCAGTGTCATTTCAGAATTTACATCAACTTTGAATTCAGCTAATACATGCCATCACATCATTGACCTTGTAGAAGAGATTTCATTTGCAAAACTGAGGGTAACTTTTTGACATACTCATTTTGTCACCTTCATTTCAATTTTCCCACTATCAGATAAGAGTATACACTACCAAGATTGCCAAATTTTAATCAGTATTTACCTGGACAGCACTCAGTGTATACAAAAGATGAGGATCATGTCCGATACTAGCACTTATTCCACCACACTCGTGTTGACAGGACTTAATAAATGTCAGAATTTCTTCTCTATTCATTCGATGTAGTTGTCCCATGAGATCCATTACAGTGAGACCCCAATAGATGCCACTCATTCTCAAATACTCAGACATACAGTATTCCTAAAATACACAATTACTTTAATGTGTCAGTTTAAACTGATGCTGGGTTAGAAACTGAATACATAAACATTTAGCCCATCAATGATGAGTTTAAATTTGTGGCTCTCAAATTTCGGGATAGGGGTCCCACTACCTGAGAAGCATATGATAAACAACTGTGATGGACTAGTATCAAGAAAAAGATGTTACCTTTTTCAAGTTTGGGGAGAACATTGTATTTAGTGACTCCATAATTACAAGGCTATGGGAACCTATCATTTAAGAATTTATCAATACTAGGCGTTTTCCAAGATGATAAATAATCCAGATGTTTGTATACTACAGGGAAAAATATTTCCTTTCAGGGGAGTTGTTCACTACTTTTTTCTAAGATTTTCCCAGAGGAAAACTATCCTACATTGTTTAAAACTCAAGGTAAGAGTTTTTCAAGGTCTCAGCGTAATTCTAGAGCTAGTTTTATTACACATCAGCAGTAAACTCAGGTAATACATGCCAACACATCACTGACCTTGAAAGTATTACCTCAAGTACAAAAGTTGAAATCTATTCTGTACCTCAAACCTCTTATAAATCTGATTGGGAGGGGAAATACTTTGTCTGCCAAGGTCTCTAAATAATTATTGATAAATTCAGATATACACTCAACCTCAGATATCCAAAGGTATTCCTCACTGCACTTCATGGACATATCTTCAGTCCTTGGCTATGCAGGAGTTGGATACTCTATTTAAGAAACATGGGCCATAAATACTAACCTACTGCTTATGTAGGATAATCTTGACTTCTTTGAAATAAATTTTTAACGTAAAATCATACATACATAATCATCTTTCTTTGAGCCATAGGATGCAATATAATCTGCATGCTTCTCCAATAATAGAGTGTCAGGTGCGTCTGACTTGATAACAACATCCTTCTGTGGTGTGCCCTTTCAAAATAAAAGTAGTGATTTCATAAATTTTTACCTTTTAATGTCTGACCCCAGAGCACAGTCAATATACATCTGAACTTAAAGCTCTTGGAACGACTCAGGTATTTTTCAGGTCTCAGAGTAATTCTAGAGCTAAAGTAGTCGTAATCAACTTTCGATTCAGAATACATGCCAGCTCATCACAGACCCAAAAAATTACCTTTATCTGTTACCTTTTCCTTAAAGAGTAAAACAAACACCAGAGAATATCAAAGCTTCCCAATTCAGGACAACTTATGGCTTACACGTGGCAGAAAGCAAGCCGCAGCATTAAAACAAAAATCTAGCTAGACAATAATTTGCAATTAAGCTATTTAATGAAATTTTATTAATCCTTAGGAACTCAGGTTTCAAAGCACTTTCTACGCACCCAAAAAGTTATCCCATTGCTCAAGCAAGCAGTCCCTTGGGCCTCACCCTCTCCAGCTTTAGTGAGTTTCTGCATTTGCAATAACCCCCAGGGGATGAGGTTGCTATTCTAACTCTCCACAATTATTTACAGCTTCGTGACTGAGACTGAACTGTATTCATACAAGTAGGTCATGACGATTACCAAAAAGTAGTAAATTCCCTTTACATTTCATTTAAAATTTACTACCAAAGATTGAGCCATAAAAAAAATACGTATGTGTATGTATATCGAAGGGAAAAAGTACAGCCCACTGGCCTGGTTTTGACGGATTAAGAAATCGGGCCTTTGAATTCTGAGGCCGGCCGACAGGAGGAAGCCTGGATAAAATTAAAGGCGGCAACCGCGCCCGGGAGGTCCGCAGAAAACGCTGAGCAATACTTCAGCCTCTCTGAGCCCCCAGGAAACCTTCCAGGGCCCGTGCCTTAACCCAACCATTCTCCACGACTTCCTAAACCACGCTGCTGAATACGACCCTATCCGGCCTACTCCCCGACCCGCCTGGCCTGCAGCGCAAACCTCTGCCACACTCACCATGTCTGAGAACGAAAAGAGAACTGGGCAAGTTCTCGGGCGTATTTAGGAGGCACGCGCCTGCGCAGAAGCACCTCCCAGGTCCCCTACGCGCCCGACTTAGTTGACCAAACGCCAGCCTGTTTCATGGCTGCCCGAGGACCCCACCGACTGCTTATAGCTGTCCTCGCTGCCTGTGCCCAAAGTCTCTGTCCACCCCCTCCCGGTTTCCTCCTCTCATAATCGCAGCGGCTGGTCTAAGACAGTTCTAAGTAAAATTTAAATATCTCATTTACTTTTAATCATTTGTTCTTAAGACTCTTTGAACTCTGAAGATCTGAAATGGCTGGTAATTAGTAGAGATCTTGCAGGTAGTGTTTAATAAATGTCTTTTGAGTGACTGTTGTTGAAATGTTCACGTTCCCCTCCAGTTTGCCTCGTCCATTCTGGGTTTGGCTCCCTCACCTGTTCCCGCTCCCCCCACTTTTCCTGAGGAAGTGCTAGTAGCTGAAGTATTTGGGAATTTAGAGAAAGGAAACATCTCTGTGCCTTTTAAGAGCTCTCCACGGAGCTCAGATTTATTAGGTGTATTATTACAGCTATTTTCGTTTGTGATTTCTTAGGTCTTACATATTTAAACATTTTTGAGCACCCATTAGAGAAACTTGGCACTCCATCCCCTTAAAATGAATTGCATTCATTTACTATTTGGAGAAGGGTTTCTGACTGTGACATATGTGAGCTATCAATAATTGAGAGTGTTGAATCTACGATGATAGATTTCATTGTTTCTCCCTGTTATCTTTTATTTGCACTTATAGCTTGAGGCTCCTTTACGAAATGCATGTACGTTTTGAATTATCTATTTCTGCTGAGCTTCCTATCAATAAATCAGATAGGGGAGGGGTGTGGAGGCGTGAGAGAAACCAAGGCAGGGTGGCGTAGTCAGATCTCCTGGGAAAAGCAATGTTCAAAATAAGAATAATACAAGAATCAGATCCAAAAATTAAGATTAAGATTGAGTCAACACTTGCTGAAGGAATAAAAAATAAACCTCACTTCCTTCTTTATACATTTATTCAACAAATAAGAATTTTATGCCAAATATTAATCTAGGTTCTGGGAAACAATGGTGAGCAAAATGGAAATATGTATAGGTGTTACTGGACTGAAGGGGTCCGTTTCCCTGCATTCATCAAAGCCCAATAAGGCATGAACAGGAGCTTGTAAGGACTTATCAAGGAGATAATGCCATGCCTGGAGTCACAGGTAGCTCATGCTCAAATACCTGGCTCCCTGATGGCTTCTAGGGCATGGGTTACATAGAGGAAAAATCATTAATTATGGTGACTAAGGGAGTTAGGGTCATGGTCTGTACTGGTCAGTGCTAGAGGGGGAAGGGGATAATTGATCATTGCATCTGGTCCTGATGTCAGCCATGCCATCACATAGTCTGGTTTCACAAGTATCCTGTCAGTGGGTGGCGTCCTTCTGGAGCTAAAACACAAATGAGGCCTAGATGTTACCTCCAGTTTGACCAAAACTCTTTCTCTGTGGTTGACAAACCTGAGGCTTTGTTTCTAAGACTCCTGGATGCTGACCAGAACCTCACTGGCTTAATGATTAAGCAAGGGAGAGGGAGGTGGAGGAGTTAGGATGCTGAGGCCAGTTTGAGTCAAAGGAAAAAAATCAAAATCAAAGGGCAGATTAAAGAAAATAATGTCCCTGTGTGTGATTACACAGGGAACATAAGTTCTAGCAATTCTTGTACAATAATAAATTCAACAATTCTATTTCTAAGTATTTCTCCTGCAAATATACAACCTTGGGTATAAAGTTGTGACAGGATAGTAAGAAGCTAAGAAAATTCCTGGGCAAGTGGAATAGAGAAACTGAGACAAGAAAATTAAACAAGGCCAAACAGTTTGGGCAACTTGCAGCCAGCTTGTGAATAGAAAGACCTTATCGTCCCCAACCAAGGACACTTGAGAGCAAATGGTTAATATCTCTCCTCCCTAACCAAAAAATGCATAGCTTAAATCACCCTGGAACTGCTAAAGCAGGAAGGGAGAAGAGGGAAGGAAAAATGGGGAGTTACCAACTAAATGAAGAAGCCAGCCACCTTAGGACTTGCCAAACAGGATGACCAGATGTATGAACAGACATCCTAAGGTAAGCCATAACAACGTAGCCGAGGACTTTGAAACCTAGACTGCTATGCAAGACAGCTGGCAGAGGAACCTTGAAACCTATAGGGAGAAGGATAGTAAACCCCTTGAACCCCCACCAGGCACATACTCAGATTAGCTGGGTGGCCCACTTGTGCTATATGCCAAGTGTATTTTTAATAAATTTACATGCCTTGCTTTCTTAATAAATTTGCTTGCTCTGCTTCAACACTGCTGTCACTGGTCTGAAAACTTTCTTATGAAACTGACAAGAACCGAGGAGGGGACAGCCCTCCCTCTCCAACTTAGGGGGCTGTCAACTTATGTGCAAGAATATTCATAGCTGCAGTCTTTGCAATAGCAAAAGGTTACAGATATTTTAATTAACCATCGAGGGTTAAATAAACTACAGTATATTCATTATGCAGCCATTAAAAAGAACAAGTAAGCTCTGCATACATTGCTTTGGGAAGATCTCCAAAATATATTAAGTGAAAACAAAACCAGAAAATGCCAAACTATGTATAGTATGCTACTATTTGTGTGGGAAACAAAGGAAAAAATATATATAGATATATTTGCACATGCACAGAATTGCTAAAAGCAGTTGCCTACAGAAGGAGAAATGGCTGGCTGGGGACAGGATTTAAGGAAGGATTACTTTTCACTGACTATTCTGGTACTTTTGAAATCTGGTATGTTTTTGTCCCTTCAAAAAATAAAAACATCTCCCTTCCAAAGAAAAATAGCTACAAAAAACCAATAGTGATTAAAAAACAAATTCATCTCCACCTCTAGACCTGTGCTGACCAATATAGCCATTTGGGGCACTTGAAATGTGGCCAATCTGAACTGAAATGTGTTTTAAGTATAAAATGCACACTCTATTTCAAAAACTTAGTAATAAAAATAAAGCAAAATATCTTATTAACAATTTAAAAGTATTAATTATTTAAATGATATTTGGATATATTGGGTTTCATAAAATATATTCTTCAAATTAACTTCACCTATTGCTATTTACTTTTTTAATTTGTTTGTATGTGAGAGAGCCCTAATCAGTTAAGATTTTAATGACCACTGAGAAGGAGAACAACTCTTTGAGATCTGGGCCCATAATTTTACTTTTGGCAGTGGATGAAGTTGTAGAAATGTTGTCCTCAATGTGTCTGTATGTCTATAATATGTCTATAATTACATATCTATAAAATACTTTCCTACTTCTGAACAGCATAAATTAATAAATTAGATTATACCTCATATTAAGGAACTCTGTTCTGATTGGTTTCTAGAGATAAATAAGTACTTATAAATAAATAGTCCTCAAATTAACAGAAAATTTTAAAAACTAACCTCTATACTTTGAATGAGCTAGACTTTAAAGAAAAAAAAAGAATTCTTACAGAAATCGCTAGCTCAGAAACATTTTTCAGGTTCATGTAATTAAGATGAATCTTTGGACAGATCAGAAAGTTTTAGTAATTGGGGTTAAAGAAAAAACAGCTATGTGTCTTTTTCTCTGAATATCCTTAAGTATAATACAAGTATAGTACAATATGTGTAAGTACAGTTTATTTTTTAGTGAAGAGACTAATTAGTCTAAATTTCCTAAACTTTTTATATTGGTTATATTGGTGGAATTAGCTAACCTAAATCCTACATAAAGTTTGATTTTTAAAAATGTAAATTTGGGTCCCACTAAACTGAATCATTATTCTAACAAACTCTATTTTATTCCAACAGTAATTATGTTTTGAATTATGTCAGATTGAAGATAATTTTTAAGATCTTTAAGAAATTTAAGAAAAGATGGCAGCGGACTGAGTGGTAGCTACACTGATACTCTCCCCGGACCAAACTGGAATTGCAACTAAAATATAGAAAACCCATCCTAAATAATCAACTGCAACTGAAGATGAGCTGGAGAGCACCAAGGACGAAAAGTGAAGACTGCATAGAGACCGGTAGGAAGTGCAGAGACACAAGAGGGCTGGCTGGGCTCCCCCAGGCAGCAGCTGAAGGACCGGAGGAATAGCTCAACTGTGGGGGGTTCCCACTAAGGACTCTGGGGCCTAAACCCCAGGCTGGGCTTCCCAAGAGTGCCAGAACTGAGAAAGGTGCCCACATAACATGTTTGTGAAAAGCAGCCACATTTCTGTCTGCCAGGGAGAGACTGCTAAAAATGCAGGCACCTTCTTAAAGAGCCAACACAAAGTTTTGTGTGCAGCCACTCAGGGCAGAGTGGACCTGAGCTGTGTGAGGAGAATCTGGGGTTGTGGGGTCTGGAGATAGAATTCAGAGGGCACCCCTCTGTATTCCTGTACTGAGTCATTCCCCATACTACAGAGAACATGTCAGGTGTGTGTCAGGGAGGGGTCTGTAGGCCTTGGTGTTCTTTCCATGACCCTGACCATCTTGCCCATGTGCCCGATGGTAATCCTATACAAGGATGATCCAGCATAATGCAACTGCACATGTGGCTTAGTCTTATGTAATAATGATTCAGCATAGTACAATTGCACGTGTGACAGCACACTGCTTGCTATGGTCTATATAACCAGCACTGTACACAATAAAGGAAGGTACTGTTTCTCCTGATGTCGGCTCCACCCGCCTTCTTTACACTGGGGATCTTGTCTCTGAAACACCCCTTGCAGCCTCCCTCCCCCAACAGGACATCTTTCATAGGCAGACATTTACCTTCTAAGCAGCTTTTGCCTGAGAGCAAAGCAATTGCCTCACCCTGCTGGAAAACCTCGCCCTCCCCAGTGGAGTTTCTACAGCCTGAGTCTCATTAAGAGAATCAGATTCATCAGCCTATAGGCAGAGGCAGAACTCAGAAAGCTTTGAGTCTTTGTCTGATCTGCTTCTGGACCCAGGCCTTGTAAA